ACGGAGTGGACTGAAGCCCTGGCCAGGTCTTGTTGCTTCTGCCCTTCGTGGGGGGGGGGGGTCTCTTGCAGAAGCCAGGAGGCTTCATCGTGGACCTGGACCCACAGTCAGAAGCTGAAGGAGGATCCAGGGGAAGGTGGAGCAACTGCAGGCCCGAGTGCAGCTCCCCCCACAGGGCAGCAGAGAAAAGCCACACTGGATGAGAGACAGTACACCACCCATATTCATTAGTCACATGCTGCACAATGCTGTCTGGGTCAGTGACGTCCCCTCAGATTATAAGGGAGCTGAGAAGTTCCCGTTGCTAGTGACAACTGCAGCTATTACCTCACAGCCCCCCGCCCCCAACCCAGCACTCACTGTGCTGCGTCTAGCAGGGGTCCTCAAACTTTTTAAACGGGGCCAGTTCACTGTCCCTCAGACTATTGGAGGCCCGGACTGCAGCCCCAGGACGAGTCAGCTGCTAAGCAGGACAGGCAGCGGTGGCAAAAACACCCGGCAGGCTGGATAAATGTCCTAGGCGGGCCGCATGTGGCCAGGAGGGCGTAGTTGGAGGACACCTGGTCTAGAGCATCCAGTCACATACCCTACAGAGCACTCGATCATAAGCTACTGTTACTGGCTTACGGATAGACTATTATCAGTGCAGTGTGCTCCTAAAAAAGAAAACCAGGCAGCGCGCACAGTAGGAGGGGTTCCAGACAGCAGCTCCATGTGTGTAACTGTCCTTGAAGACCCTGCAGCAGAACAAGATATGGAGGTGGGAAGCAGGGATGGCCCTATCTCTGACCCTGTGTATGACTAGGCTAATGCATGTGTGTGTTTTAGTTTTTAACCGAAGTTCCAAAAGTTAAAAAAAATTAAGAAGGAAAAAGCTTAACAGTGTTTCTCAACCTTCCTAATCCTGCAACCCTTTAATACAGTTCCTCACGTTGTGGTAACCCCCACACATGAGGAGCAGTGTCTCGGTTCCTAAGACCATCACAAATGTGTGTTTTCCAATGGTCTTAGGCAACCCCTGTTGACTTGTAATAACTCCAGGTTAAAACCGCTGCGAGAATAAGGATCTAAGGAAAAACTATTTTTGTACAGCTTTACAATGTGTTTGTGGTTTAAACTAAATTTTTATTACAAGTCAACAGTTTTAAAACATTATAAAGTTTATTTTTTTAGACACAGGGTCTTACTCTGTCACCAGGCTAGACTGCTGTAGTTGGATTATACATACCTCACTGCAACCTCAAATTCCTGGATTCAAACAATCCTCCTGCCTCAGCCTCCCAAGTAGCCATGACTGCACACGAATATCAACACAGAGCTAATTTAAACAATTTTTTTCCTTTTTTTACACATGGGGTCTCACTAGGTCTTAACACCTAGCTTTGAGCAATACTCCAGTCTTGGCCTTCCAAAACACTGAGATTACAAATATGAGCCACTGGATCTGGCTAAAAGTTTGTAAAGTACAAGATTAATATATTATTGAAGAAAGGAAAAGTTTTTCTAACAATTTAATGTAGCCTAAGCGTACAGTAACATTCCAGGCCTTCACACTCACCCACCACTCACACACTCACTGACCCGCATAGAGTAGCGTGCGGTCCTGCAAGTCCCATTAGTGACTCTAAACGCCCTATGTATGTGCCCTGCCGTTTTCATCTTCTAGTTCTTATTGTTACTGCCCCTTTTCTATGTTAGGTGCATAAACACTTCCCATTGTGTTCACACTGCCCCACCCTTCAGGACAGGAACATCCACACAGGTTGGCGGCCCAGGAGCAGGGGGCCAGGCCAGACAGCCCAGGTGCGTGGAAGGCCATCCCGTTACATGTCACCTGATGACACACTTCTCAGAACATATTCCCACCATTAAGTGATGTGACCGTATAGGAAACGTCCCAGCTAGTGCCGTCAGCCTTCTCTAGTGACCAGTAACGCTAGAGCTGGGAGCTACAGGGAAATAAGTGGTGGGGTTCCTTTTTTTTTTTTTTTGGTAGATTTTGCTTTGTATATTATTTTTAGGTGTGTGTGACAAAAGTAAAACTGTAATTCTGTGTACCTTAAGTACCATTATGGGTTAAAAAAAAAGTACAACTATTCTAAAATGAATGAGCTCTAATAATTAAACAGCCCATCATTAGGTAATCCTGTAAGGATGATCACATGATGTAAAAATGTAGTAATTTTTAACATGTCACGAAATTTTAGATGGCAACCAAAGATACTAATGCCCAGATTCTAGACATAAAATGCTTTGTAAAAGTAATTTTTGCTAATTCATAGTATTTAAACAAACCACAGGCTTTTACTGAGGTTGGTTTTGCTGGAGGGACTTGACACTTCCTGTCCGTTCTGCTCTGGCAGGTTTCGCTGTCAGCTGTCGTTGAGAGGTTCCAGTTTTCAGGTACAGCACCTTTGATAAGGACGCATTTTGTTAATTTCAGAAAACATGATTAAGCTACCTTTTGCTGGAATTAACAACAGAGGCATATTATATCCCATGCTAATTCTTTCACTCAATTTTTTTTTTTTTTTTGTAGAGACAAGAGTCTCACTTTATCGCCCTCGGTAGAGTGCCGTGGTGTCACACAGCTCACAGCAACCTCCAACTCCTGGGCTTAGGCGATTCTCTTGCCTCAGCCTCCCAAAAGGCTACCATAGTAAGCAGGTCTTCAAATTTACCTACAGTTTCTACTCCCACTTTTTCTCCAGCACACTAAAATATAACATGAATGAGCAAAAGGAAGCACCCCTTAATTCAGGAGTTAACTCTTGAGCAACATGGGTTTGAACTGCGCAAGTCCACATTTACAAGATCTTCTACTGCGCCCACCACCCCTGCATTATTCAAGGACCAACTGTATTTACTTCTAATATTTACTCCAGCCTTTTCTTGGCATTGAAACAAATCTTTACTGCAGACTTAGTGAAAATCAGGACGAGGTCTCAATAAACAATCATTATTCATCACCGTCCCCCAAGGTGTGAATAATTAACTGCATATGGGTAACACTATAAAAAACCATTTTTATTAGCGTGAGTGGGGTTCTGACCAGGAGAAGGAAATTTGTTTTTCAGCTACTTCAGTTGGCTGACCAAAGTGTCAATTTCCAAACCATGTCAGGAACTTTGTGCTGACAATAATCTGCTTTCTACTTTCTCTTTATGAAATCTAACCATTCTCTGCATACGAATGTCTACGGAAACAAATTGCCTCAGCCAAGAACTATTTTCTTGAGGACAGGAACTGTATATTCTTTAGATACCTGGTGGTAGTTAGGATGACTATCTCATGGTCACCCCCAATTTAAACAGTTTCTAAATCACAAATGGAAGGCATATAACTTATTACCTACCTACATTACGAAATCTTGATTTTCCTGTGAGATTATCAAAATATATCGCATTATGGCCTATTCATTTGAAATACTACTTATAGCTTCATTCATTAACTGGATTAAAAGGCACATTTTGAAAAATCTAATATCGTGAAAAGTTTATTTGCATTATTTTTTTCCATCATCATAAGAAATACTGACATTTGTTTGTTCTCTGTGATCAGAAAAAAGACATTTTGGAATGAATTATCTATTTCTGCTATCTTTTAAAGAAAGTTAAGTCTTAAAAACAAAAGCCAAGTGCACAGTTTGTCAGTGGTCTTCCTATCTCCAGTGTACCCCAGCAAATACTCGTAGCTGTCAGGGAACTGAAAAACCGCAGGCTGCACTTTGCCATGCTTCTTCCTAAGATGTGTCTGCACTTAAGGAAAAACCTGCAGTGTATTGTGTAAAGTATCCCATGTTCTTACAAGGTAAGAAGCCATTTTAGGCAGTGATCGCTGCCTTTCAGCATCTCACATTTCATAGAACCACTGACTGGATAATTCAGTCTCTAAGCCACTTGATCTACAACCATTCCCTAATAGGGATCAACTTCTATCTAACGAGGCTAGTCTGGATTTACCAACTCTTTCCCCATGAGTTTCCCAAAACTCATCACCCATGTAAGGTAGTAATAAGGTCTTTAACCATGATTATTTATCTTCTTTATAAAATGTATTTAATAAAATGTTAATACCTGCAATGTATGCATCAGTATGGAATATGTGGCTTTCAGTATGTTTATTATAAAATTTTTCTTATGATTGATGCTTTGGATTTTTAAATAAATCATCTCTTCAATAGGGTCTCTAAACACATTTCAAATCATCTAAAATGCTGGAAAAAGTTTAAAACTACTGGTCACTCTAAAAAAACTTGATAGATGCACTCAATACATTTCTCAGGATACATTTAAAAAACATTTAGCTAAGCTCTTTAATATAACATGATACTTTGTGACTCTTAACACATGTACAATATTCTCCCTAGTTTATTTTCATTCTTGGACCTTTAAACCATATTTGGAATAAATATGAAAAATTTTCAGTGCAAAAATGAGTATTGCATGATTTTAACACTTTGGAGATAATTAAAATCAATAAATATTTTCCAGTGACTTCAAAAAAATAAACAATAGGAACTGTCAATCTTGTGTATACTTCTGAACTTTAACTTGTAACAAATATATTCTGTTAGCATATAAAATGTTTTTACCTTATTTTGAAAGCATAAATATGTAGGGTTGTCCAAAACATGTGAATTGTTTTTTAAAACTGACACCATTGCATCCATATTCCACTAAAAACAAACAAAATAATCAAACTGATGTGCACTTACTAGGAAGCAAGTTTAAAAATCTGGAATTTTTTTAAAGTGCTGAGATTTGGAAGAGGAATATCCTTAAGCATGCTAACCATATCTTATCATGAACATAAAAAGAACTATTAAACTCAAGTTTAAAAAAAAAATAGAGGTTCTATGAAAGGAAGATTAGTAACAAACATTTTCCATTGAAGAAAGAATTCAAGTAAAAACAAATAGCACCACAATGAATTGCACTAAGGTGCTAAAGGAGGTACCTTATTCCCTGCAGAGTGAACGCTCCTTCTGAAATGTATTGCAACATATAAATGCAATTGTTTAATGGGTACCATTTGGTTCATTCATCTACAGAAAATTGCATTCCTTCTAGTTCATTATATTGAACAAACATTCAAATTACTGAACTATATATACATAATGTTACATAGTTTACATTTTATGAAAACAAAGCTTGGAAGGAGTATTTATAAATGTCACCTTGAATAGAAGATGACAGGTTTAAAAGGGCTTCATATCTCTTAAGACTTTTATGTTAATGGTCCAGGAGTGTTTTAGATATAGATATAGATATAGATATATTTATATGCATATATATCTCAACAAGTGTAAAAATTTTTTAAAAACAATTCATAGCACTCATAGCTGCTTTACATACGAAGGTCTTAGGGTAATTAATGTGTCAAACTATTACATTTATAATAAGTATTTTTTTTTAAAAGATTGAAAATGGCACATCAGGAAACGTGATAAATCCTTAGAGGCCCATTTCCTTATATCCCATTACTGATGTGTCTATTCCATGTGTGATCCCTTTTCTTCGCTGAAAGCACGTGTCCCTGTTTGGATTCACTGTGGAGTCTCTGCATTCCTCTTCCTTGAGCAGATGGCATTATTTTCCATGTCAGTTAAAGGTCAGGAAACCGGCTCGGGTCTTCCTTGTAGTCATCAGGTATAGTAAAGATGGACCCATCAAACTCATCATAGCGAAACTCCTGAAAAGTCACAGTGGCTGTGATTGTGGGAAACACGGGTATATCTACAGAGAGACAAACAAGTGATAACATGATAAGATCAAATATCAATATATTTATCCATATCCCTTAAAATGTAAAAAGCCACTACTCAAGGACCAGAGAAATCCAAATGTGTATTTAGCCCTGAGTGTGTGGTTTAGACAAGGGTCTAGATATTGACGGGTGAGGAAGGAAAGACATAGAGACAGCCAGAATTTTTTATATTAAAAATTCAAGATCCTATTTCTTCCTAATCATAATAATCTTTTTTCTTTTTCTTAGGGCCAAGGAACAGCCACTTTGGTACTTTCTGCATTCTGACATCTTTTTTCAGATTAGAGTATAATATATTATTCTGATGCTTTGAGCTGATTTATTTTCCTTCTTATTAGCTCAAGTCAAATACACTAATCCTTTTTTGTTTTAAAACACTAAAACAAATCCATCACTTAAATAAGGGAGATAAAATCTCATTAAAACTAGAGTTGACACCATATCAATACAGTCCAATATTCTTCCAAGTGAAATATATTTCTGGCTAAAACCTTTTTATAAGTGAAATTTGGCATTTAAAATGGGAACATACATTAATCATTCTGCTTAGTTTTATTTCTAATATGAGTTACTAGAAAGAGCATAAATCATAAAATCCAGATTCTGATTCCTATCAATTTTATTTAAGAACCTCAGGGATTTCATCTATAAAATAAACTCTGAAACTCCCTTCAGAAATTAGTCTGTGGAAGCGATAACTCAAGCATCTGCTAAGGGTAAAGATACATAATAAGTGAAGACTGACTGATGAGAGGTAGTATTTTACTGGAGAAAGCAAGTCTTATGTAAAAAAGAAAAAAAAAATACCTGAATTAGACAAACACAAAAGTCGACAAAAGAATTAGAGTGTTTCCAGTTATTCTGGGGGGGCGGGGGACCCACATTTATTTATGTCTACTGTGTACAGATGCCGTCCTAATCCAGTGGTCAGTGAACAGCCTTTTTCCAACACTATTTTCATAAAGTTTATAAGCTAAGAAAAGATTTTATATTTTTAAATAATTGAGGAAAAAAATAATATTTCAAGAAGGAAAAATTCCATGAAAGTCAAACTCCAGCGCCCATAAATCTTCTCGTTGGCCCATCAGTCTACTTATTCTCTCTGGCTGCTTCTGTTCACCAAAAAGAAAAGGAGAAAGAGTTGAGTAGCAGTGACAGAGGCTGAGTAGCAGAGTCACAGGCCTTGGGCGGTGCATGTGGCTCAGTGGGTAGGGTGCCGGCCCCATAAGCCGAGGGTGGCGGGTTCAAACCCAGCCCTAGCC